CAATAATAGATGATTCCACTGGGGTTTAATCCAATTGATACGCTTCTCTACATCAAACTGACAGGCTAAAACTGTGTTAGTTGCTAATCAACCAAAATGTAGAGTCTGATGTGGCTTGAAAGCTATGATTGTAAATTAAGTGTTAGTTGTTATTAACAACCAAAATCTAGTCTGATTGTAGGTTTAAAAACTATAATTGTAAATTAACAAAGATATTGGATGCGTATATCTAAGGTTACCAACTAGTATACTTACTTACTTACTATCGTGGTAATTGAAATGAGTCACCGCGCGTGCTTCGCATATAAACGGCGAGATTATTGATTGAATGATGTAAATACGGTTTTGTGGATGGTCGTTACGTTTTATCACGTTGATTGAGTTTTGAGGCTTTTGTTGAATGATATCTTATAACTGGTTTATTATACCACACATCTGGTTAAACAAATGAAAACGAATGTAACAAATATCTCAAGTTCTGGCAACTGACACCCGAATCACATGAACATTAACACAACACACGAACCAATCACAGAGCTGTATTCAACGCTGTGCGTTCGATTAAGTAAGCGTCGTTTGTGAATACGGGCGTGTGCCCCTTATTATATTACTAGCTTTCCGTCCGCGGCTTCGCCCGCGTTGTATTGTGTGTCACAGAAAAACTTTATCGTGCGCGTCCCTGTTTCTAAAACCGGGATAAAAACTATCCTATGTCCTTTCCCGGGACTCAAACTATCTCTATGCCAAATTTCATCAAAATCGGTTCAGTGGTTTAGGTGTGAAAGCGAGACAGACAGAGTTACTTCTATGCCATAGGATTTCGAGTGTTTGGCAAGTGCTAAAAAGTAGCAACAAGCTCAGCTACCACTTAGCACTACTTGTCAAACGGTGCAAAACAATTTTGTGGTATGACGTATGAGTAAATAACATACATAGGTCACTCACTCAGAAGTTATATTTTTGTTAAAAGTCTCAGCGGACCTTATGATTACTTTAGAGCAGTGATTCTCAAACTTCAAGTTCTATGTGCCCTTGTTTTGCTGCATTTTTTATTGAATAAAAACAAAAAGATTAGTTTCTTGCCCCAAATTGAACCGCTACTTACCGTGCATTTCGAGAGCTTACAACTCAAACGTTTCCCTTGTCACGAATCCTTTACGACCACTGGTGAAGGCGAGCCCCTGGGGTTCAAATACCCCAGTTTAAGTAACCCTGCCTTACATAGAGTGTCTCGACGCAACGTTGTTGAACTCAAGGGAATTGCAACTCAAACAAAAGAAACCTGTTTGCGTGCCACTAAAAGTTCACCTAGCCTACTTATTTTTTTTAAATTAGGCTAGACGTTATTTTCAGACTAAATTAGGTACGCCACCGTGCATTTCGAGAGCTTATTAGCAACTCACGCGTCACAATCACAATATTATGTCAAACGATCATCTCGTCACGAATCCTCCACGACCACAGTAGGCCTAGGATGCGCGCCGCGATAAGCGGTTATCACTCCCATTTTATCGATTTTGCCCATACATTTTGACGTCGATAAAGTATATCACGATGCGCGTCCTAGCCCGGCTGGCAAGGATAAAACCCTGGGGGTTCATTTCCAATACTCCAGTTTGAGAAACCCTGCCTTACATACAGTGTCTCAACGCAACGTTGAACTCAAGGGGATTGCAACTCGGAAGCAACCTGTTTGCGTGACACGAGGTTAGGCAAACGATGCATGTTTCACCATACGCTTAGGAATTATTCAATTTGGAATTTAAGAAGCAAATGCAGCCGTTTGTCTTCCTGTTCTAAAACAGATACTTGAAGCACTCAGGAGGATTCAATGGGAAAGAATCTTCTCGAAGCAATATTGCTTTGACCTGAAGTTTCTTATCTCAAAGAAGATTGTTCGAACAACTTTGAAACATTGTATCACGCGTATGACACGGAATTTTGTATGTATTTCTTTGCTTTGTAAGTAGTTGCTTTGTCCCCCTCTATGGTGAACTTCAGAAGATTGAAGACCTTTGGGTTGACTTTTGAAAATTGACTTTTCGTCTTCAAGGCGCGAGTGAATAGGCACACTTATAGTGCATGTACCGTACTATACTTTCACTTAACATCAAATACCTGCTTTGTGCTGCATAAAAAACCATAACTTTATTCTACTCGTCATACTAAATAACTAATATTCTTTTACGTTGTTCATACGATCAAAATCCTGATCCTGGAGGCAAGATGAGAGACGATATTTGTTTGCCTGGTTCGAACCTGAGCAAATAACCAGTGTTTACCTACTGTTTATGCCTGGCTTGTTGGAAGTGACATCATGTAACTTTACTGTCGTCTTAGAGCTGCTCAAAAAATTTAATGCTAATATCATATCACGAAGTAGGTACTTTGGTGAAGTTGCAGCCGTAAGGTCAAGGAGAAAATCTTATATCGTTTTGATCCTAATTTTAAATTTTACTCAAAGGATAGTCTTTGAGCAAAACAATTTAATGCTACGTTAAGGTTTATCTTTAAAATGGCTGTCCTTAGAACTTTCTCGTTACAATCGGAGCACCTTTTTAAATTTAATTAATCAACATTAATTGATGACTAAAGTGAACCCATTCGGATAATGTGCCTCGGCAAGACCTTGTTAAGATTCTAATTTGATTAATAGAGAGCGATAGTTTGTGAGATATTACTCCATCGTAAGCTACATCTGGTGCTAAATCCAATGATCTATTTGTTTATTTTATACAATTAATAGCGTGTATTAACGTGATAGATCTCTCCCATTCCTATTATTGTAGATAAATTACGACGGATGATTCTGACCAGTGCAATGCAATTTCTAAGTAATGGATAAGTTATTTATAGCATACATAGATTATATCCAAAAATTATAACCATCATGAAATCATGACATGACATCATGAAATATTTTGTCTGTTTTGGTGAATATCTTCGCCAAAGAAAGTTGCTCGTACAGTGCAAGTTTGCAGTGAGCGTTAAATAGTTCATGCGTGACAAAACAAAGTGGCTAAAACGTTGACAAAGACATGTTGCGAACTTTTTGGCTACTTTGGGTGTCACTCTAACTATATTTTTAAGCTGTCTGTACATGAATATTTTTGCTAAAGAAACAATGACTTCTATTTCTCCTTTTATGTACAATTTGGTTTAATCACTTTCTCGATTAACTTTTAATGCCATTAATCTTGTTATTTCGCTTATAAGCTCATTTGTGCCGGCATAATACATCAGTGTTTGTTGACCCCTCGTTGTTTATTCTGTGTAATTGAGGAAGAGACGCCTTACGTTACTATGAGGTGAAGGAAATTTCCACTGTTCCTGAATATACTTATCCCATCAAAAACAATACTTGTCAAAAAAACTAAGTCTCGCAACTCAGTTGTTCTACGGTAAAAAGTTGTGAGATCCAGGTAATACCAAGTCCAGGCCAGGAAATCTTTAACGTTTTACATAAATTATTGACTTGGCCATCGCACTAAATAATTTAATTTACACGTGTTTTCATGCCATGGCCAAGTCAATATATTTATGTAAAACGTTAAAGATTTCCTGGCCTGGACTTGGTATTACATGGATCTCACAACTTTTTACCGTAGAACAACTGAGTTGCGAGACTTAGTTTTTTTGACAAGTATTGTTTTTGATGGGATCTCATTTCTTTTTGTATTTTGTAGACAGCAGTTATGTATCTAGACAACTGAACCGAAATTGAAAAATTTTACTCGACTTGGCGGTTGCACTACCGTGCCCCTAAATATTTTAGTTTTTCCTTGATTCATACACCAAACACTACTTATATTCCAAATTTGAAGCTTCTAGGTCTGCTAGAAGTGCCTTAGAATTTTGATGATCGGTGAGTCAGTCAGTGAGTGACAAAATTAAGAAACTTTGACCCGTTATAATTCTTAAATTACTATTTATTTATATTAACCGGCAGACAGTGGTGACTGAGTTTGTTGCGGCGCTTCTTCTCAGCACTTGCCAAATGTTGGTCTCGAAGCGCTGGTAGGGTAAAAAGATTATGAGACATGTAGAGGCTCCTTAAGAGCAAAATGACGATTTGTAAGAACTATTTATTAGTCTAAACAAATAAAGAAATTTTGACTTTGACTTTGACTTTGACTTTGACTGGTTCAAATTGAATGAAATTTGAAATATACCGTGTCTTTACAATGCCTGCATAGCTAATGAAAATTCAGCCTTCTAGTTTTATCCACAACGAAGTTACAGGCGGTCGAAAATGGCCTGAATTGCTTCGAGAAAAGGATGGTACGGCCGTGCCGCTTTTTTGCTCGACTTGGTGGGGGCACTGCGGTGCCCCCAGATGTAATCAAAGCTTGGAAAGTTCGTACTGTAAATATTGTTAGTGTACGGGGCCACTTACCACTGTTAACCAGTTTCTTCAGCTAAAATAAAGTCCACTGAAACAGGATTCATTTGCGTAAAATTCAGGATTTTATTTGCGTAAAATTTAATTGCGAGAAAGCACTTTTTCACGTCCTTTAGCAATAACCCTTAGTTTAGTTACAAATGGGAAATTCGTAATTGGACTTCTTATTGGAGTAAGTACTCCAATTAAATAGCACCAAGTTACAAAATAGCACACTCTTCGGGTCCTAATGTTAGTAGGTATTCCTCATATCAAAACATACCTTAACCAACAACTGATCAGTGTCTGTTCTCCAGCTGCTGCATAAGAAAAAGCCTTTAAAAAGTGGCTGACAATTTAGTGTCTGAGTTTCTTGCGTTGCTTCTTCTCAGCATTGGCCCATTTATTGTCCTGAAGCAGTGGTAGGGTTAATACTGGGACGTGTAAAAGTGCTTTTTAAAAGCCTACTTGCATAAATAAATGAGTTTTATGAGTTTTGACACTTAAAAAGCTTAACACACTCAAGTTCTACCTCTTTAACACACTCAAAAAGCGTCAATGAATTCTAACGCAACCATACCTCCTCTTGAAAACAACTGACTGGTCTCTTCTCTTCCAGCATGGAGGTGGGAGTCCGGCTGCTGGGCATAGTGCTGCGCCTTCTCAACTTCTTGCTGGCACCGCTGTTCTGGTTTCGTACTCGCAACCGCCGCGCCGTGCCGCGCCCGCCGCATCCGCTGCTCTTGCGAAGCGCGAAAGAGCATGCCACCGCTATACGATCGGGGGAGGTGAGTTACAAGTCATTTAAACTTTGCAGGTGGGCTTTTAATACTTCATCTGGACAGTATTGTGTGCTAATGCTGAGTGAGCAGTTCAGGAAATTAAGACACTTTAACTTCTGGCAGCACGAAGGAGCATGCCACCGCAATACGATCGGGGGAGGTGAGTTACAAAAGTCATTTAATTTTTACAGGTCTTTTAATACTTCTTTACTCCTGTTTTGTGGGCTAATGCTGAGTGAGCAGTTCAGGAAATTAAGACACTTAAACTTCTGGCAGCGCGAAGGAGCATACCACCGTTATCCGGTCGGGGGAGGTGAGTTACAAAAGTCATTTAATTTTTACAGGTCTTTTAATACTTCTTTACTCCAGTATTGTGTGCTAATGCTGAGTGAGCAGTTCAGGAAATTAAGACACTTGAACTTCTGGCAGCACGAAGGAGCATACCACCGCTATACGGTCGGGAGAGGTGAGTCTTAAAAGTAATTTATTTGGGAGTCCGGCTGCTGGGCATAGTGCTGCGACTGCTAAACTTTCTGCTGGCACCGCTGTTCTGGTTTCGGCAGCGCAACCGCCGCGCCGTGCCGCGCCCGCCGCATCCGCTGCTCTTGCGGAGCGCGAAAGAGCATGCCACCGCTATACGATCGGGGGAGGTGAGTTATAAAAGACACTTAATTTTCACGATTAAAGCGGTCTTTTTTTTTATTATTTTTTATTTTTTTATTTAGGAAAACAAACAACTGAACAATACATATTTTTTCTTAAGATAGTTCAATAAATATACAGACTAATTGGACAGTCAACACCGTTATCCTAGTTTAATAAAATGAACATGCAATGTACGCACCCTACAGATACTTAATAAATTACCACTACTAATAACATAAATGCGAAAGTGTTAGAATCTGTTTCTCTAGTTTTCAAATTCTAGTCGGTCTAAATAAATAAATAGGTTTTTAATACTACTGTGATCAAGACAGTAATGTGAGCTAGTTTTGAGAAGAAGCAGCGCAAGAAACAGCACAAACTCACATTCGAACTGTCGAACTTCTGGCATCACATTTGTTTCTACGGGGGGTTTGTTGACGATATCCTACATTGTGTGGTGTAGTAGAGTATTGATTAAGTAAACGAGTTTTCTTTTACATATGGAGATTATTTTACAAAATCAATCTTTCCATGTTTTGATGAGAAATATTATTAAGATAAAAATCAGTACGGAATATAAATTACTAGCTTTCCGCCNATTTTACAAAATCAATCTTTCCATGTTTTGATGAGAAATATTATTAAGATAAAAATCAGTACGGAATATAAATTACTAGCTTTCCGCCCGCGGCTTCGCCCGCGTGGATTTTTGTCTGTCACAGAAAAACTTTATCGCGCGCGTCCCTGGTTCAAACCCGGGATAAAAACTATCCTATGTTCTTTCCCGGGACTCAAACTATCTCTATGCCAAATTTCATCAAAATCGGTTGCGAGGTTTAAGCGGGAAAGCGTAACAGACAGACAGACAGACAGACAGACAGACAGACAGACAGACAGACAGACAGAGTTACTTTCGCATTTATAATATTAGTTGGGATAATACACCGTCTTTCACTTAGCATGTTTTAACTAGATATTCTATTTTTGTATTCATTTACAAATGCGTCTGCTTTTGATATAATTTCACTGATGAATAGAGCTTAGACGGAAAACCCTTGCTCAGAAAACACCTATTCACTCGGTAATTGCCGCTCTTCAAGGATTCATCAAGAAATTTCTGGATTATGAATTATGACTATTATTAAATTGTTATTGCGTCGCTTCACGACACGCTTAATTAGCCACCAACGAATATTACGAAATGGTTGACAAGTGATCGTTTAATCACCATTCCTGTACTGTATAATATATTATTAATTAATTTTTAGTCTGCGTTATGTATCATATAACTGTGAAAACATTGCTGATTTCTGCCCTATTTTTTGTGTGACTGTTTATCTGTGTATGAAAATTTTTTGTTTCCCTAATATTGATAAATAAATAAAATTCCTGCTTGTGCCAGATAGGCAACGGCTGTCTAGCAATTAGTTATAAGTACGCAGTATTAGCAAACTTGCACGCCAAATAATGGCATGGGTTTCTCACAAGCATGCCGGTTGAAAGCAAATAACAGGATTCGAGGAGCTAAATATGATGGTCTGCAGTATCTGAGACGCATTGCACTTAGAAGATAGGGTTGTTAGATCTGAAAATCATAAACAACAACGATTCACTGAAGTCATTAAACATGTGACTGACCAGATAGCGGCAAAAGAACAGCTTGCGAAGTCACAGCCGCAAAAATTCATAAGAAATAAATAAAAAGGGTGCCATAATACGGGCTAAAATATGACCACGTTTATGTTTTTATCAAACTAAAACTTAGTCACAATAATACGGACAAGTGACTAAAAATTCTTGTCCTCTCACTGGTAGAGCAAGGGTCCAAAGTCAACAGTTTAGCGTCAAAAAACCAAACCCTTAAATCTCAAACGTATAAGAAAAATGATTAAAAAATAAAGCTTTTCTTTCAAATATAAGCGACTGGGTAACTAAGGTATCAACAGGTTCGCCAACTTGTCATATTAAATATTGTAATTTCACTTGCGTGAGATTTACTTGCATTGCTATTTTAAGCACTACTGTTAATGTTAGTTAATGGTGTTGACGCCTGCCCCTTCGGAAAATTATGAAATTATTAGAAATTTCTGCCAGAACAGGTTTAACCAGTATTGCTGTAGGTAACGGAGTTCTTTAATTATGATTATAATTTTAACCAACTTCCAAAATGGAGGATAATCTACTTATGTTCTTCTGTATTTTATGTTTTCGTTGTGGCTCCAATAAACGTCCAGTGATAGTTTAATTTTCTCTCGAGACAAACATGGCCTTCCCTGATTGGGGTTTTTATTGGCGGTCAAGGTGTCGATCCTAGCTACACAGGAGTTAACAGGGAACGAGAGGTGGAAATAAGTAGTCCCTTGTTTTATTAATTACTTGCCAACAATCAAATTCAAAAAATAATTCCCTTTTTCAGATAACCAGTGAAGAACTGGTGATTGCCTACATAAACCGAGTCCAAGAGGTGAACCCGCTTCTAAACGCCGTGGTGGAAGAACGCTACAGGGCAGCTTTAGAAGATGCGAAAGAGGTGGACAGGTGCTTGAATGAGGCGATCAGGACTGGCACCTTGGAAGAGCTGGTCGCAGCGAAGCCTTTGCTTGGAGTTCCTTTCACAGTAAAGGAGAGCTGCTCGCTTGCTGGTGAGTGGATTTGCAAGAATAAGCGCTTTCGTTATGTCGGTTTTAAAAAGTATATGATTGAGCGATGCGATCTCATGATCCTTTTAAGAGTCAAGTGACTTCTATGACCGATGAGCTACTGAGACGTTGTTAGTATGTTAGTGTAGTTTAATGTTATTTTTGTGTCTGATCCATTTTACCAACGTAGGTTAATACACTTGTGTTCGCAACACAAGTGGTGTCAACTTTTTGGCCACTTTGGGTGTCACGAACTATTGACGCTGACTGTACAACCAACTTAAGAGTAGGCGCACACCGTTGATTTTTAGTTGGCCGATAGTTGTGCCCGATTTTAAATTGTATGAAGAATCGGCCAAATCGAATCGGTGTAGTGTGCGCACTCCCATACATGCCCATACTGATCAACTGCCCGACTAAACTATCGGCCGACGAAAAATCAACGGTGTGCGCCTACTCTTAACCAAATGAAGTCACCCAGTGTGCAATAAGTAGGTATAGGTTTTAGGCAAGTTTAACATTACACGCCAAAACAAATGTGATTCAACTCCGAAATCGGTATTTCAATACACGAAATTATCCGAATGAATTTTCCGAATTTTTAGCTGCAAATTAATTAAATTTCATCGTACCGAATTATCCACGTGGAAAATATGTCACAAACAATTTAATTCTGCTCACTGATATGTAATGATTTATTGTACTTATTGGTTTTAAAGCGAATACATACTTTATGTACTTACCTACATAGGTATAATATCCGCCAACTCCCTTTGTAATTTTATTAATTATTAGTATGCTCTACATAATGTGAATATGAAAGAATGGGTTAAATATTTTCAGACTTAATATTCATGAATGATATGCATAATTATTATAATTACTAGTTTTATCATCGTCCGTGACTTAGTGCGTCTCCTTTGAAGAATCCGTAAGCTAATATAATATTAGATTGTAGTTTTATTCCCTTTCGGATCAAACATAACACTGGTCAACAAAAAATCAAAATTAAATGGTGCCGAGATTCTGTTGATAGTTTATTATTAGGTGTGTATTAGTAATAATAAAAATATTTTTCTTTTTTTTTCCTACGTGTAGTTTTTGATCTACCGTCAGTTTTAAATTTTAGCTTTAATCGGTACTTTGGTTGCACAGTTTGTAATGTTATCGGTATATTTTTATGACGAAATTTATTTCAATATCATGTCTGCATTGCCAAGAAGTTGCCTCAACGATCCAAATGTAATTTGTTACATTTGTGATGTGTACACAGTTAAGAATTTCAAAAATTTAGACAAAATTTTAATAAAAAGTGCTTATTTTTCTTACTTTAACTCTGAAATTGTGGTTGTATTCAAGCCGTGGATACCCGAAATTGTTTGTATAATCTGCTGTGAACACTGAGGCAATGTATCAATGGGCAAAGAAGCCATAACATGAAGTTCAGAGTGGAAAAAGTTAGGAAAAAACAAAAAATAAATCCTGGTTTGAGCATAAAAAAAGGTTAAAGCAGTAAATTTTTGATGGCCCACAAATAAGAACATTAATAAAAGATACTGATTTCTTAAGTTTGATGGACGTTTGGAACGATATACGTGGACTTCGTTCGTTGAAGTTACTAAAATTTTTTTCGGAAATCACAGGACTAGTAACTACTATGAAATTGTGAGACATGCCCTAAAAACTCAGGATGTAATAATTTTCATCAAAGGGCACTACCTCCACAGTCATCTTGACCAATTCCCAGAGAATCTTGGGTCACTATAGCATGCTATAGCTAAGAACAGGGAGAGCGATGCTATCAAGACCTAAAAACCATTGGAAGAGAGGTACCAAGGCAGATGGGATAGCTATATGATGGCTGATTACTGCTGGAGGATGTAACGTGATAGTCCCATTACACCTCATTCACAAAAGTCGTGGAAAAGAAAGTTTTTAAGCACTTCAAAATATTATAAACGCTGATTTTGGTGAAATTTTTTATTTTTCTATACACGTCAAAATCTAGAAAACCACACGTAGGAAATCAACAAATTTGCTACTAAAGCAACCAGTATAAGGTCCTTAATCAAAAAATATATACAGTTCCTTGGCACCAAAACCACTGTTGACCAGTGTAATTTTTCATAGCCTGTTACTCTGTCATTTTAAGATTAACACTATGTTGCAATAATAAAACGACACTGTCTCACAATGTAAAATACACTTGATAAATACCAATTGCTTTGTTTCCGTTATTTATTACGAGTCAGAAGAGCTGTCAGTATAGAAATCGTAATACGAACAGTGTGCTTACCATGAGTTTACACACACTCACATGTTCACACTTAGGCCCAGAACAGACGGTGAAACGCAACTGCAACGAAACTGCAACTTTTGAGTTGCATCAAGTTTCTGCCATAGCGTCCGTTGAGAGACCACACATGACGCGACCAGTTTGAAACTTTCAGTTTCAGTTTCATTCATCAGAATCATCAGAAAGTTGCAGTTGCGTTTCACCGTCTGTTCTGGGCCTTATCGTGTGCTTGCTAGCGACTGCGTCAAAAAAATCTATGAAGATTTTAGTTCTTGAAAGTAGCCGCTAAGGCACTGTACTACAATTTGTTATTCATTGTAATTTTTTTACGTAGTCGCTAGCGAGCACACCTAACGTAAACTCATGGTAAGCACAAACAATTTTGCATTCGAATTACGCGAGAAAGTTAATGAAATTGAATGCCAGGCTTGACACGTGTTTGGATTTTCAGAGGATCAAATTAGTGCGGATTTCGTGCTAGACTTGATGTACCTGGTAATAGCGGATGGCAGTAATCCGTACCCTGATAAACCAATAACGTCGCCTGCCAAATGCAGTTATGTTACCGGCGTTTACCTGGGCAAAGCTTGTTTGCTTATTTGATGTGCAATACCTAAACATTATGTACATGGTAGGTGTACCTGGTACCTGGGTATTTACCTTAATAGTATTTATTTTGTGCCTTAACTGCCTTTTCAAGCAAAAACAGTGACCATTTATGGTATGTTTTAACACGTTGGGCGCCACGCGCTCAGCGGTAAGCCTCGAGCAATATTTCTATTGTGTCTAGTGTCTTGGCAGTCAACGATTTAACTTTTGATGTTTTTTTTACTTATTGAAACAAACACCAATGTATAACGCTCTTATTCTTATTTAAGACTAGCTTTCCGCCCGCGGCTTCGCCCGCGTGGAATTTTGTCTGTCACAGAAAAACTTTATCGCGCGCGTCCCTGTTTCAAAAACCGGGATAAAAACTATCCTATGTTCTTTCCCGGGACTCAAACTATCTCTATGCCAAATTTCATCAAAATCGGTTGCGAGGTTTAAGCGGGAAAGCGTAACAGACAGACAGACAGACAGACAGACAGACAGACAGACAGAGTTACTTTCGCATTTATAATATTAGTTGGGATAGTGTTTTAACACAATGATGATCATAATATGAATCTGTTAGCAATCGGCACTTTTGTAGGTAAGCAAAAGTGCCAAGTACCTCATACAGCTTAAGTAAATCTAAACAAAAGTTTTCATACTTAACAGGTTTTCCTTATGACGCATATTGAAGTTTTGGACAAAACAAACCCTTTATACTTACATAGCTACTCGTCGCTTGTATAAACATTACGTTCATAACACACACCGGCGAAAAATAGCGACGGCTCACTAATTAATTTATATTTAGCCTAAAACTACAACAGTCCTAGACTACCCTACCTAGTAACCACCTACACCATTAGCTTTAAATGGTTCATATTCTTTGCCGTACGTTAGTATGATAAAGAGGATAGATTTGATTGTTTTACGGGAATAGGCTCCGAAACTACTGGAGCGATTTGAAAAATTCTTTCACCATTCGAATAATTTTTTTTGCTGAAAACTTATTTTTTGCTAAAAACTTATATTGTTGCTAAAATCTTCGAAAATTTACTGTTTAATAAATAAAATGTTAGGTATTTTTTCCTCCCTTATCCTCATTTTGGTACTTCATAGACTAAGAGCTAGTCTGTATGATTGTAAGCATTTATGCAAAGACATACCCAAGAACAAAAACTTTGTTTATTCAAAATTTTATAAGCAAGCTATTTAGAGCAGCAACACTAATGAACTCCCTATCTAAGTGAGATCTGTCACGAAATTACGAAATTGTTCCCCAGGTTGGCCGTTATGATTCCGTACAGAGGTCCCTGATAAAGTTGGGGTTTTGTATTACGTAAGTCGTGGGACTCGTGGGTACTTTTGCTTGTGCCCTTGCTAAATAGCTGCTTTGAGATAGACAATAATCATAGGATACTCCTCTGTGAATACCTGACCTCATAAAGAGGATTTTTGAGAGGAATACTTTCGTTACACTTTTAGACGAAGAAATAAGATCTATCTTATTAAATATCTTTTTACACGAATCTCAAGTTTTGAGGTTACAGGATAGCGAGAAGTTGCAGCAGTTGGAAGAGAGTTTTACTTGTATTTTATTGCACACTGAACATAGAAACGAGAAAAATACCATAGGGGTCCGAGACCTTAACCAGAACAAAATAGGAGTTTTCAGAAATCTTCTACAATGTATCTCATTCTTAAACTTTAATTACTATATCCTCGCTCACACATCACTGTAATAAGTGCTATTTTGCAACAATAATATACAGGGTGGAATTTTGTAATGCCACCTGGAGGGAAAGTACTCTTAATATTGTAGATAGAAAAATTTTCTCAAAGAAAACATTCCTTTATTTTTGAAAATAAATAGAATTGCAATCGATGCAATTCTCTTTTTTTTTTTAATAAAGGATTTTTTTCTTTCAGTAAAATTTTATATGTAGGTTATAGGTACAGTATTAAGAGTACTTTTCCTCCAGGTGGCATTACAAAATTCCACCCTGTATAATTCAGTTAGATGATGTAACTGAATGTAATTCAAATTCTCTTCCAGGTCTTTCTAACGCGGTAGGCTGCCTAGAATACGCCGGCCGCAAGGCGACAGAAGATGGCGGCGCAGTCCGTTTGGTTAAAGAGGCTGGTGGCATCCCACTGCTGGTGTCCAACACGCCTGAACTATGCCTGGGCTGGGAGACCACCAACCTGCTGAAGGGGACCACCAACAACCCGTACTGCTTGAGCAGGACCCCCGGCGGCTCTTCGGGCGGAGAGGTGAGTCGAGGCGATAGTGTTATCATACGGCGGTGCTGTCAGATAAGTGGGGAGATGTCAGAATATTAGATGGTGGCACAGTCGGACTAGTGAGGAGAACTGAGCTGTATTAGACGGCAGTGCAGTCAGAATAGTGAGAACAGGTGACATATATCAAGGCAGGCGGCATTCCGCTCTTGGTGTCCAACACGCCTGAACTGTGCCTGGGCTGGGAGACCACCAACCTTCTGAAGGGGACCACCAACAACCCTTACTGCTTGAGTCGGACGCCCGGCGGATCTTCGGGTGGAGAGGTTAGTCATTGTGATAGTATTGTCATTTGTCATATAGCGGCTCAGTCAGACTGGTGGCGGGATGTGAGAATATTAGATGGCGGCGGTGAGAATATTAGATGGCGGCACAGTACTCACTAGAGGAGAAGTGAGCTGTATTAGACGGCAGTGCAGTCAGAATAAAACGGGACTATTCCCACCTCTCGTTCCCACCACTGCANTTAAGGCATAAAAGTTATTTTTAGCTTTTTCACCGATCTAGTGCAGTCAGAATAGTGAGAACAGGTGACATATATCAAGGCAGGTGGCATTCCGCTCTTGGTATCCAATACGCCAGAACTATGCCTGGGCTGGGAGACCACCAACCTTCTGAAGGGGACCACCAACAACCCGTACTGCTTGAGCAGGACGCCCAGCGGCTCTTCGGGCGGAGAGGTGAGATAGAAATGATAGAAGTGCGCTATGATTTGGTTATAAACAAGGAAAAACAAATAGTTTATACCTTATTTTCCCTCCCAACTTCGGACTCATGTTCTTCCGTCCAATGACAGTTTAACTGTCCCCTGAGACAAACTTGACTTTCACTGGTTAGGTTTTTATTGTCGATCAAGGTGTAGATCCTGGCTACACAGGAGTTGCAGCGGTGGGAACGAGAGGTGGGAATAGTCCCGTTTATTTTCCCTTTAATGAGGAAAAACATTCGTTTTCATTTAGCTCCCTTTTTATATTTAGCCACTTTGAATTGAGGGAAGAGGGACCAACCTTTTTTAAACACGCTTTGTTTTTGAAACGGCCATTTCTTTTTAGCAAGAACTTTTCTGTTTACGACAAACAAATCTATTATTAGGATGTTGGATGTTTTTACATGGATTCCGCGAAATACAATTTAAGTCTTTCCAAGTAACTTAATAATAGTTCGTGTATATAACAACACGATTGATTACAGTAATAATTTATGATATAGCTATGAAGGTAGTTCTGATTTTATCAAAACCGATTGTTATAGAATATCTATAGAATCAGAGTCACACAGTACTTGAATATTTCGCAGTTAGATCATAAGTAATTGTTCAAACTTATGGAACAGACTTAGCAGATTACAATCACACATCGCTGTTTGCCACGGGCACTCCGCGCTCACGTGCTAACTGCCCGTTTGTTAGCTTTGTTGCATAACGTGTGCCTGCGTACAAGGTTCAACGATTTTTACATGTATAAGCCCTGGAGTACCAGACTGTGGACAAATATGATGTAACAATTATCCCATCCCAACTAATATTATAAATGCGAAAGTAACTCTGTCTGTCTGTCTGTCTGTCTGTCTGTCTGTCTGTCTGTCTGTCTGTTACGCTTTCCCGCTTAAACCTCGCAACCGATTTTGATGAAATTTGGCATAGAGATAGTTTGAGTCCCGGGAAAGAACATAGGATAGTTTTTATCCCGGTTTTCGAAACAGGGACGCGCGCGATAAAGTTTTTCTGTGACAGACAAAATTCCACGCGGGCGAAGCCGCGGGCGGAAAGCTAGTTGTAAATAATTATGCTAACATCATCAGGCCAACCTGAGACAAGTCACTCCACGTGAACTTGAGGGGTCAGGGAATGTAAGCCAAATCGTATAACCTCTGGTATAAACTCATACAAGCTCGTGCTTCTGCAATCTTGATGATCTGTAGGCCTAGGATGCGCGCCGCGATAAGCGGTTATCACGCCATTTTATCGATTTTGCAGATACATTTTGACGTCGATAAAGTATATCACGGCGCGCATCAAATGTTGTTAATGATACAGAATTTATAGTCGTGTGCGTTGTGAGCTATTAAAAGCTCATAAAAAGTGAAGTGTGTCAATGTACAGTAATGTTAGAGATCTACCTGAGGTAAAGTAACGGCTTACGGCACTAGATGGTGATTTATTGACGTCCAAACATCAGCAAGACTTCAGATTTGTATGCCCTGTCACGACACAATATTATGTCATTGTCGCTCCTCCCGTACCACTCCTATACTAACTATTCCACCTTGATTACCCAATAAATCTCAATTCCTTCTAGATGTGAACACATAAATGACGATCCCTCATCCATGTGAACACTTAAGTAAGTATAACTCCTCGATGTGTTTCAGGGTGCGCTGCTGGCGTGCGGCGCTTCAGCGGTATCGGTGGCATCCGACATCGCGGGCTCAATCCGCGTGCCCGCCGCTTTCTGCGGCGTCTTCGGACACAAGCCCACGCCTGGTAAGTGCTGCGAAATAACTGCATATTTGCCTTGAATATGTATAGGTTTGTATGTGCTTTGATTAATAACATTATGAGGGACCTGAAAATAACTTTATAAGTGCCTGGAAATGAGCGATTTTCCTAGGAGAATCAAAGTAACTGACTGACACAGTCCGCAGAATCGTCAAACGATTGATAGCCGTTTGGACACAAAAGATTCGCGACCACGGACCGAAAGACGTAACTTGGGTTAGACCTCCCATTTGGTAAAACGCGCTTTAGGGAAAGTCGAAGTCGCAGGAAGCGCATAAGTTGTGATAATCCTTGGAGGAGGGCTTTGTCCAGCAGGGGTCGTGTTTTAGTCGCCTGAAACGGGCCTAGATTTAGCATAGCATTTAGAGTTTCCATTTAACCGAGATCTCGATCTTGTATTACTATATTCTCTGCTTAAACTACTATTTGCTCAAATATTCAACAGAACTGCCGTATTTAGACCTTTTAAAATGATTTGATTTGAACTTTCTCCTTGCAGGTATAATCCCGATCGACGGGCATATCCCAACGCTCAGCGACCCGAAGTTCCCAAACTTCCTAACGGTGGGCCCAATGGCGCGGCGCGCGGAAGACCTGCCTCTCCTCATGAACATTATGGCGGGAGACAACCGGCATATGCTCAACTTGGACGAGCCTGTCGACCTTAGCACCTTGCAGGTTAGGCTTATTAAGCTAGTGTTTCTCAAACTGGCGTACACAAGCACCCAATAAAAGGACTTGCAACCACCTCAGCAAGTTCTAGGTAAGACTAAATGACAGTGTTTCTCAAACTGGCGTAGACAAGCCCCTAGTAGCGACCCGAAGTTCCCAAACTTCCTGACGGTGGGCCCGATGGCGCGGCGCGCGGAAGACCTGCCTTTACTTATGAATATCATGGCGGGAGACAACCGGCATATGCTCAACTTGGACGAGCCTGTTGACCTTAGCACTTTGCAGGTAAGGTTTATTAAGCTAGAATTTCTCAAATTGTAAGCAAGCACCCAATATCAATACTCGTAAAAGACTGGCGACCATCTCAGCACTTCGCAGGTAAGGTTCTTTAAGACAGTGTTTCTCAAACTGCACCGTACGCGAACATCCAAGGGTTCACCAGGATTCGTAAAGGACTTGCGACCACCTGGGCATTTTTGCAGGTAAGACTCTTTAAGACAGTGTTTCTCAAACTGGCGTAGACAAGCCCCTAGTAGCGACCCGAAGTTCCCAAACTTTCTGACGGTGGGCCCGATGGCGCGGCACGCGGAAGACCTGCCTCTCCTCATGAACATTATGGCGGGAGACAACCGGCATATGCTCAACTTGGACGAGCCTGTTGACCTTAGCACTTTGCAGGTAAGTCATAATAATCTTTTCGGCCACAGGACGTCCAATGCTGAACATAGGCCTCCCTCAAGTCTTTTAAGACAGTGTGTCTCTAACTTCGGTATGCAAGCATCTAATATTATTAATCGTAAAAGACTTGCGACCACTTTAGTACCTTGCAGGTAAGGCTCTTTAAGCCACCCTTTCTCAAACTGGCATACGCAAGCCCCTAGCAGTGTCCCCAAGTTCCTAAGCTTACTGACGGTGGACCTGTCCGCTATAACTTATGAACATCATGGCGGGAGACAACCGGCATATGCTCAACTTGGACGAACCTGTTGACCAGCACCTTGCAGATAAGGCTAAACCTTTTTCGGGAACAGGCTACTAAGTATATTTAATTTTGTAACCTTATTCATTTATCATAATGTCGAATTTTTTTTTAACATACTGTGCCCTATGCAGCGTCTCTTAACGCGAACCGCCACAGGTTATTCAGCGATCGAATCAGAAATGAGGAGATACGCAAGAGGACCAAAGTGACCGACATACCTCGCAGAATTGCTAAAATCAAGTGGCAGTGGGCGGGGCACATAGCTCGTAGAGACGATGGCCGTTGGGGCAGGAAAGTTCTCGAGTGGCGACCACGGCCATATTACAATCACACGATGATATGATGGCGTGGCAACAAGACGATTTACGACAAAAATTTAGGCTTGCTGTAGGCCTAAGATGCGCGCCGCGATAAGCGGTTATCACGCCATTTTATCGATTTTGCTCATACATTTTGACGTCGATAAAAGTTATCACGGTGCGCATCTTAGGCCTACAGAACACAACTGCTCATAAACATCATAAGTTTGAGAAACTTATTGTTCTTTATCAAAACTAAACCGCGTGTCAGGAGAAGTTTAGTATTATCATTTTGTAAGTTCAAGTCAACCCAACCGTTCGACAATAAGTACCTGCTCTCAATTTAAGACAGTATTTTTACCATGGGCGTTCTGAGGTTAATTTTAATACGTTCATTATTTTCTTGCTCTACAGGTGTACTACATGACCGAGGCGGCGAAATCCCTGGCTCTGTTGAACGTGGACAAGTGCATCAAGGACAAGATCAAACGGGCTGTCAAGTACTTAAGGACGGAGTGCGGATCCAAAATATGCAAGGTATGGTGATAATAATATGGGAGAATCTTTATTCGTTGTTCACTTTATTTTGCTTGTTATTCTACTGCTCCTTGAGAGAAGATAAATCCAGCAGTAGTCTGTTTTTTTATCCATAACGAGGAATGCTTTTGGCCTGTATCTCACCTGATGGTAAGTGATGATTAGACCGAAGGTGGAAGCGATCTTCACCCGGAATCCTCAACCACAAAGTTATTAATGCCTGTTTTCACCATCAATCCCTAATTTTTAAGTGACCCCTATGAAAGCAAAATTCGTGTTATTTGTTACCATAGGAGTCACTTAAAAATTAGGGATTGATGGTGAAAACGGGCATAAGTGTAATAATTTTGTGTTCTCACTAACATAATTATTAACCAATTATACTTCTTCTAGCTGTGCATTTTAATGATAAATCGCTGAAATATTTTCATCCATTTATTGTTGTTTCAGGAAAAATTTAAGGACTTAGAAGACTCTGTGGAAATGTCAGTTTCAGTGTTCTTCTCGATGAAAGACATACCCAACATGCTGCAGGATCCGAACGACCCCAAAGTAAGTTAGCTTAAATAAAAAAAAATGTAAAAAGTATTTATTACTAAAAGATGTCACATTGTACAAATTATTCCGGCGGTCTCTGCACTAAGCAGGAAAGCTTGTATCGCAGCGGCCAATACGAACAATTACCTTAAAAATAATGACATCGGTCTTAAATACAGGGTGTTAGGTAAATGGGTATATGAGCCGACTCTAGCTCATGTTAACATGGTCATATAAATGGTATGGTGAAGTTAGAAAATTGATATCATCATTTTATTTTTTTTAATTTTCATACAAAATAAATTTTATAAAATCCGATTTGTATAAAAATAAAAATAATTAAAATGAAGATATCAATTTTCTGACCATACCATTTATATGACCATGTTAACATGGGCTAGTGTCGGCTCATATACCTATTTACCTAACACCCTGTATTTTATCTTCCAACCCGAGTAATATTACTTAGAAGTCTCGTATGTACTTAGTGGCTCTTTTCAAACTAACTTTTTTCGTCATAAAGCGGAAACGCGCTGAAATTCTCAAATAGAGTCGATTTGGATTCGCCACTATTAGTAAAAGTTCAAGTAATTTTGGGAAAGTATAGGCACTATAATGCATTAATTTTCCATTGTACACACGGCCACAGTGTTAACTATCCATTTCCGTTTTTGCTCTCGCTCTCATCAAATGGCGATTCTTCGCGATAGAACGAGATGACATGACAGGCAATGGGCAGTTAACACTGTTGCCGATAGTGCAAAGTTACCCGGAAATTTAGAGTTACCCAAAATGACTGTACCTAAAAGTCTTTTGATCCTGAGCCTTAATTTTTGGTCCCCTGATCTTTTGGTAATGTGGTGATGGTATGATGGTGGTTAAACACATTTTCCTTCCATTCACAGCTCAACAAAAGCCTGTTCGTGGAACTAGTGAAGACAATGTTCGGCGGCGCCGCGCGATCGCTGCAAGGACTCGGTTTCACCGTCATAGCGCGGAATAATCTCTTCATACCCGCGGCAAGGCGGGAGCATTATGAAGAGAAGGCGGCAAGGCTCAAAGAACAGCTTATAGTGAGTACTTACTCAATTTTTCAAAATGAGTCGTGCAGGCAAGTCTTAAGAGCTAAACAATGTGAGCCGGACGATCGCTGCAGGGACTCGGCTTCACCGTCATAGCGCGGAACAACTTGTTCATACCATAATAATCTCTTCATCCCTGCGGCAAGACGGGAGCATTATGAGGAGAAGGCGGCGAGGCTCAACGAACAGCTTATAGTGAGTATTCTACACTATAAGTCGTGCGGGCGAGTCGGCGAGACATTAACTCAGGGGTGTATTTCAGGCGCAGTTACACTATGCCGGAAAGTGATCGAACAGAAGCGCTAATATGCGCACTGCATATGAGCGACGCACGGCGAAACTAACTGAAATGCGTGTTTACACTGTCTCGATCAACTTCCCGCATAGTATAACTGCGCCATTAGGCGAGACGTTAGCTAAGTGAGGTGAGTCGGACGCTCGCTGCAGAGGGCTCGGCTTTGCCGTTATAGCGCGCAATATTCTCTATAAACCCGCGGCAAGGCTCAAAGAACAGCTCATAGTGACTATTTATACTGATAATCCAGAAGAAACTGAGTGTTTAGTTAGTTACACAGTTAGAGGCGTGGTCGCTGTATGTACCTACTCAGTATATCAAAACCAGTCGCACGGGTGGGACGTTAGCTAAGCAAGTGAGAGGAGATCGCTGCAGGGGCTCGACTTTACGGTCATAGCGCAGAATAACTTGTTCATACTCGCTGCTAGACGGGAGCATTACGAAGAGAAGGCGGCGAGACTCAAGGAACAGCTCATAGTGAGTAGGTACTTACTCAATATTTCAAAATGAGTTGTGCAGGCAAGACTTAGCTAAGTAAGTATGAGACGGACTCTCGCTGCAGGGGCTCGGCTTCACCGTCATAGCGCGGAATAACTTGTTCATACCATAATAATCTCTTCATCCCTGCGGCAAGACGGGAGCATTATGAAGAGAAGGCGGCGAGGCTCAAGGAACAGCTTATAGTGAGTAATTACTGAATATTTCAAAATGAGTTGTGCAGGAAAGACTTAGCTAAGTAAGTATGAGACGGACTCTCGCTGCAAGGACTCGGCTTTACCGTCATAGCGCGGAACAACTTGTTCATACCCGCTGCAAGACGGGAGCATTATGAAGAGAAGGCGGCGAGACTCAAAGAACAGCTCATAGTGAGTATTTACTCAATATTTGAAAACGAGTCGTGCAGGCAAGACTTAAGAGCTAAACAAGGTGAGTCGGACGCTCGCTGCAGAGGGCTCGGCTTTACCGTTATAGCGCGCAATATTCTCTATAAACCCGCGGCAAGGCTCAAAGAACACCTCATAGTGACTATTTATACTGATAATCCAGAAGAAACTGGGTGCTTAGTTTAGTTAATTACACAGAGGCGTGGTCGCTGTATGTACCTACTCAGTATATCAAGACAAGTCGCACGGGTGAGACGTTAGCTAAGCAAGTGAGAGGAGTTCGCTGTAGGGGCTCGGCTTCACCGTCATAGCGCGGAACAACTTGTTCATCCCTGCTGCAAGACGGGAGCATTATGAGGAGAAGGCGACGAGGCTCAAGGAACAGCTCATAGTGAGTATTTACTCAATCTATGAAAACTACTTGTGCAGGAAAAACTAAAACTTTAGTTTTGTATGGTGACATGGACGTTCGCTGCAGGGCACGTTTTCACGATGTTAGCACGTAACAACTTGTTTATACCTGTTGCACGGCGGGAGCATTATTAGAGTACTCATAATGGTTAGTAAGAAAATACTGGTTGCAAGATGAGTCGTGCGGATGAAAGGATCTAGCTTAGGGACGTGGTGCCCCCAGCTCATAGTGAGTACTACCACAGAATAATAATAAGTACTACGTACAGAAGTTTTACTTCGCGAAGGTATTTAAAAAATGTATGCTCAATGTCATTAACAATATGGTGTAATTTAGCCTGTCTCAAGAGTCAAGCACCATTTTGTTGACAAACGTCAGTGATCGGCACTGCGCCGAAGCTATAGGGCTGACTTCGGTAAAGTGATGTGACGTGAGGTGCCAAACTGCGGAAAATGGCGGAGGAAATACATGATTTAGCATGAATTATCATGAATAATATTAACCAACTGACACTTGGCGACAATGGCTTGTTCCTCTAGGTGTAATTAATACAACCGGAGTTAATTATTAACCGGTGTTTGTTCTCGCACGAAACTGGTGACGGCCGAGCGATGACTGGGCGACGCGATGTCGGAGCGGCGGCAATGAGGAAGTAGTATTGCGATCGCCCCGTTGGCGTCCGTTTAGTGCGCGTAATCATAATTTTTCATGTTGTTATATGCATCGCCGTCGCGACGTCCTGCTATCGCTCGGCCGGCGCCAGTTTCGTGCCTGCAGCAGACTTAAAAATAAAATATTAAACGACAATTTTGTTCCCAGGAAACGCTCGGCGACAACGGCGTGCTGCTCTACCCGGTGTTCCCGGGCGCGGCGCACGCGCACGGGCGCGTGTTCGTGCGCGCGGCCGGCGTGCTGTACTCCATGCTGTTCAACGTGCTCGGCTGCCCCGCCACCGCCGTGCCCGTCGGCACAGCCGGCCACCTGCCCGTCGCTATACAGGTTTGTATATCATTCCTTCGTTCGTTTCAGCCGAAAGACGTCCACTGCTGGACGAAGGCCTCCCCAAGGATTTCCACAAAGACCGGTCGGGACTCATCATCATCATCATCATGTCAGCCATAGGACGTCCACTGCTGAACATAGGCCTCCCCTAATGCTTTCCACATTGATCGATTGGTAGCGGCCTGCATCCAGCGCTTCCCTGCTACCTTCACGATGTCGTCGGTCCACCTTGTAGGTGGACGTCCCACGCTGCGCCTTCCGGTACGCGGCCTCCATTCCAGAACCTTGCTGCCCCATCGGCCGTCAGTTCTGCGCACTATGTGCCCTGCCCATTGCCACTTCAGCTTGCTAATCCGTCGGGCTATGTCAGCGACTTTAGTTCGTTTACGGATTTCCTCATTTCTGATTCGATCTCGCAAAGAAACACCAAGCATAGCCCTCTCCATAGCACGCTGTGCAACGGTCGGGACTATTACCACAGAAAAATAATAAGTACCACCAGGCCTGTTCATCTCCGCGAGTTTACATCGAAAACAAAACACGCACGATTGCCCCCTACAAGAGTACTATTCGACAAGGCCTCACATACGAGCGAACATTGACTCACGCACGCGTATTCTTGTAAAATGGTGTACTAAATACTGTGCAGTATTTAACTGCCTAAATAATAATAAAAACACAGAATGTAATTTTTTAAGTTGCCTCAAGACACTGAGAGGTAAATAAGTAGTTAATATTATTCATGATAATTCATGCTAAATCATGTATTTCCTCCGCCATTTTCTGCAGATTGGCACCTCACGTCACATCATTTTACCGAAGTCAGCCCTATAGCTTCGGCGCAGTGCCGATCACTGACGTTTGTCAACAAAACTTCTGACAAACTTGCTTGACTCTTGAGACAAGCTAAATTACACCATATTGTTAATGACATTGAGCATACATTTTTTTAAATACCTTCGCGAAGTAAAACTTCTGTACGTAGTACTTATTATTATTCTGTGGTACTACGTACAGAAGGTTTACTTCGCGAAGGTATTTAAAAAAATGTATGCTCAATGTCATTAACAATATGGTATGTAACTTCATGACTAGCGAGCGCGTTAAAAAAATATGCTGGTTTTAGTTCTTGGAAGTTTCCGCTAGGGGCGCTGTACGATCCGTCATACATACAGCATAAACACAGACCACCAACTTTTGGTTGACCGATAGTTGTATCGGCATTGTTAATCAGTACGGAGATGTATAAAAGTGCGTACATTACACCAATTTGGTCTCGGACGATTCTTCATACAAATTAAAATCAGGCCTAAATATCGGCCGACTAAAATTTGGTGGTCTGCGCCTAGGCGTAATGTCCCTTTTTTACGCAGTCGACATCGAATGCGTTTGACGTAAACTCACACACACACACACACACCCCTGCACAGTGGACACGCTTAGATAGCTTTTATGTAACACGCCGTCATAGCTTACGACACACAGTTACAGTCAAAACTAATAATCTATTTATTTTTTACCTAACGAATACCTAGATTCCTTAAAATATGAGAAGTAATAAAAAGTAACATTACTGTTGTAGTACTTAGGGTTGTAGTTTTATAACACATTTTTGACAATTTCCTAGTAATTTTCACTAATCGCATCTCGTATACACCCCACACAAGTCGCCACCACGGTCACGAAAACACTAGAATTTACTGAATAAATTGTTTAATTTTTCCAGGTCATAGCCGCTCCAAATCAAGACAGGCTGTGCTTAGCCGTGGCCAAACAACTTGAAATTGGTTTCGGCGGCTGGTGCCCGCCACAGTAATCCATCCCAATGCGAAAGTCGCCGCGATGACTAACCTATGACGTCGGCAACCACATTATGACAATCTTCTCACCATTCCTCGTGACCTAGTATAAATATTGGGACGTGCTAACGGCCAAACATAGGTTACTATTAGGTCAGAGGCTTTCAAACTCTTCTATGTACTTGGTGTAATAAAAATATCTTGCATTTAACTCTACTGTGGTGACTAAGACTAGGTTAATATAAGTCGTTGACTGATCTTTTGTCGATCGCAGATATCTTTTTACTATAATCTTACAGCTGCATAGCCAGTGTAGACGTAGAAAGAAACATATTTTTGGTCCGAAATGTACATTATTATATCAGTCATACTTAACTAATTTGATCAGATAAAAATACTCTTTGGAATGGAAATTTAAATAGACATTTTAAGATTGTGTCCCCCTATACATACAAAACTTTTGAATACGGTAATAGGTTGATCTATTGTATTTTATAACATTTTCATAATATTTTTTTGTGAGAAGCTAATTTAGTTTGGGAACCGCTGTACTACTATAAATATTACGTATAAGTAGCTAACTCTTAAATTATATCTGAGAAAGGAAATCTGTCTATCTGTATGTTAGATTAGCCTAAAATTTTGATGAATTTTGGTGTAAGAAAGGTTGGATTCCAATCCAACCTTTCTTACCTGAAGAAGGACAAACATTGTCGCAAAAAAATTAGTAGGGTGAAATGTGAAAGGGGTAAAGTGTGATAAGGAATCCATGATTCGTAAAGAAATGAAAATTAATATCTAGGCTACTGATAAAAAATTAAGAGTGCTTCTGAATAGTTTAGATTTTATAGCCATTGATCCCAAGACGCGGGAGAAAGATTCAGAAAATATTGAAATTCACACGAACGAAGATCAGAAGTTCATTCCAAATATTATATTACAGTAGGTTAAGTGTATATCAACAAACCACATGTATGGCGTGGTTGATTTTCTACCGAGGAACGACTACTTAGTATCGTAACTAGGCTATTTTAGAGTTAATAAATGTTTTGTACGACTGTATTTCAATGGTCGCATCAATGAAATTGGTGTCTTATAATAATTGATGTGTAAATTAATAAATGTTGTTTTATTTATGATGGTCATCGGCGCACGCCATTTAATTTTTTATTATAATTCGCTCAAAACATCTTGCTATTTATTGTAATAAATATTTCTATTGGTTAAGGACAATTTCTGTGATTGATGTTATTTCATTTATCCAAATAAATGTATACTTTAGTAATATAATCGTTAAAGTGTGTAAGTTACCATTTTAAACTTAATGATAGCTAAAAATAAATGTTATAAAAAGTCAAGTTGATAAAATCTACTTACCTGATTGTTTAATTTCAAATAACCTCACAATATGCTTTGTTATGGAATATTTAGTGTAAACTGATAAATCAAATCATGTCCTCCTTCAATTCAGTTAGGTCAGGTAGATATTTTTTATAAACATGCTGTTTATTATGTAATTTTGTTGAATGACCCAAATAAACGATGTTGTACTAATAAATTGTTTTTTGTTATTCCTTTCGTACATAGAATTTTGTTTCTTCCTTAATTTAATTAATATAATTATTGTAATAACTTTATATGAAGTTAATAACCTAAGTAGATAATGTAGTAGGTACCTACAAAACGAAAGCACGACGAAAGCTTCCTATTTCGAGACAAAAATTAAATGACGTATGTACTGCGAGAAAAGTGCGCGAACAAAGTTTAAAATTTCCCGCCAAAAGTTAATGTTTTTTTTTCTGGTTATAATCTAGGGATGCCAGCCTAAAATTGAAACTGCTTTTCGGAAACATTAAAATCCTATTCACAACAACGTTAAATTAAAAAACGTTAAAAATTTAATTATTTAATAATTTATTGCTTAAAGTCCAAAATAGAAGATCGATTCCACATCCACTTTGAACAAATTATTTGGCACCTCATGCATATTCCATAACTATCGCGAGTAAAATTTTTTTTAAGCTCTTCGTGTTATAGCACGTAGAGATGTATTAAAAAAATGTTAATTGTCAATTTTGATGACGTCATGTTTAATGTTCTAAAAGTTTATGCAATATTGTGTAAGTGTGGTGAAATATTTTATATGGGTCCTCCGGCTGATCTTTGTTTTTAGGCTTAGGGATTGTAACATTTGTAACAAGTAGGGCTATGTGTTATGTAACGCAAAATTATTTTAAAAACGATGAGAAAATGTCAGGTAAACATTTACGAGTTTGTACAAATAAATAACGTTATACCGGTAAGAAATAATATAAAAATTTGAATAATTCTTATATGGCAACACTAAATAACGACGTTCTTGCAAATGCGTGCGACATGACGCGCCGGTGAATTTTTATAAATTTGACGTAATTTTTCTACATTGACTCCAAAATAAGGTGGATTACGTTCGATACTCGTGTTTATTTATTGTTTATAGTGTGTGAATTCGTGAATAACCCGTGCAATCGTTCTTGCAGATTTCACAATGGCCGATCAAGTCGACTCAATGTCAGATGCCGAGCTTCGGACAAAATTGGCCGAGCATGGATTCCCTGTGATGCCCATAACCGCTTCGACGAGGAATCTGTTAGTGAAGAAGCTGAAACTAGTGCTGGACAACAAGAGTAAGCCGCGAAACAGTGTAGACAACAAGGTGGAGAGCAGGCGGACACTCGCTCAGTACTCGAGCGGCGAGGAGTCTGATTTGGACACAACCAACAATGCCAAGGAGCGGCGGGGCCGTCGTGCCACCACCGGGGGCGCTATGCTGCCGCCCGTCACCAACAAAACGAAGCGCCAGCCGCCTCCGAAGAAAGGATCGCCAGCGAAACGCGATTCTGATAAGGGGTCCGAGTCAGAGGAAGAGAAGTCGCCCGTGCGCACTCACGAGGAGGTGGAGACCGTGACGACCCGCCGCGTCACGCGCACCTACGCCGCAAACGACCAGGACGACTATGAAACGGGCTCGGACAGTGATGTTGACTCGGGGAAAACAAAAAAGACCTCCTCTCCGTTCAGAAGCAGCTCACGTTCAAGTGACTACATTTCTAGCACGCTCCCGACCGTGGACGCCGCCACGAGCCCGCCTAAGACGTCAATATTCTCCCGTCCGTCGATATCACCAGGTTTCTCATCTTCTCTCTCTTCCTCTGATCATCTCAATTCAATCCGTTCACGGTTGGGCTTGACGTCCACTCTCGGTGATCGCCCATCAAGCAGCACATACACGCCTAACTTCACACCGGCTTTCCAGCCATCGACTTCCAATGTGGATGAGATTGAGTCTCCATATCTTAGCAATTTTACACGTCGCCTGTCAGCGCTTAAGGCCGATCCCAAACCTACTTCTTTCATAGACCGTGATGCTAACAATGGAACCACTGTGCTGCCGCGCAGGTCATACATAACTGGTGTCTCTAGATCTGACGTAGTGGACTATAAAACTGCTAATGACAGGAAATTCTTGAAGAATAACCTGGTATCTCTGACCCTGGTGGTGTTAGTTGCACTTTTTTTTTTTTGCTTATTTTTCATGTATATAGTTAAGAAAAACGACATCACTTCAGTGGTGGACGATCAGAACAGTCTCATACCAATATGCCAATTAAACATACCGGGCAATAGGCCAGGGATCAACTGTGTGCCTAAAGAGCAAGTAAGTTATGCTAAGGACCTTTTAAAAGTTATTCACCCAGAGTTGACAAGTAGAGCTGCCGCATTCAAGTGTAGCAAGCCTGGAGCGCTGCCGTACCTGACTGAGAGGGAGATTATTGACATCGCCAACACCAAAGCTGGCTCCGTAGACATCAGCCAGTGTCGCACCGATCTTAACAATTTACAGGTGTTGATAGTCAACAACCCCCGCTGGGGACTTAGTGTGGTCCAGCTAAAGAACCTTTACACCAAGGACGCTGATTATGTTCCCATCACAACAACAGATGCAGTCGTTCAACAACGCAACAAGGGAAGTGTAGCTCTGGTCCTCAGTGATCCATCAACCCCAATAACCTGTCTCTTAGTCAACACAATGTATTCAGCTGGCTCTACTCTAATAGTTGTCGGCGTTATGTCTTTACTGCTTCTCGGGCTACAAAGAGCCTACAAATACTATGTGACATATCAGAAACGTAAAAGTGAAGAAGTCTACTCGATGGTGGAGCAAATTATTCAAGTGATTTCTCAGGAGACAGAGGACAGTGGCGAGCCGTACATATCCGTAGACCACGTCCGTGACACTCTAATATCGCCGCAAAACAGGGAGAAAATGTCATCAGTTTGGGACGCCGCTGTTAAGTTCATTCAGAGGAACGAAAGTCGAGTGAGGATGGAGGTTCAGTCGGTCGACGGGGAAGACTGCAGGGTGTGGCGCTGGATATCGCACAACAGCCCCAAGCGCACCGCGGCCTGGCAGGGACAGGCTTTCGAAACCCAGGAGGGTTCGGTGAACAATCTGACAGTGTCGCCGACGCCTTGCCTAAAAATCCGTAACATGTTCGACAAGAATGACGCGAATCCGAATCTGCGGTCGGTGATTCAGGAGGCGATCGTCGAGAAGTGTGGGGACGTTTGCAACATCCTGCATGTAGACATCGAGAGGACGTCTTGCTGCGTGTATGTGAAGTGTGCGTCGCCTTCTGACGCGGGAGTGGTGTACCGCAGCCTGCACGGCTGGTGGTACGAGGGCCGCCTCATCACCGTCAAGTACCTGCACTTGGAGCGCTACATGCAGCGGTTTCCGAACTCTCCGTCCATCGGACCCTACCTGAAGTCGAACCGCCAGCGACGAAGCAACTGGGAAGAGTAATTTGCACTTACACTGAGACATTATTCAGTAACTTGATTGAATAATTTGGTGTACTTTCATAGACGCTTGTGGATTATTTATTGCAACTAATTGTTATGTCAACTAATGAAATAGTTATCAGACTTTTATCAATTTATTTTATAATTTGTAACTAAAGTATTTCTTGTAGCAACTGAAGCGAAACACGCACGTTTTTTGTTCATAATAAGATTTAGCATAATGTATGTCTTTGCCCGATTGTCACTTCAGCTCCATTTTCGTCCCTTAGTTCATAAGTGACCCAAGTTGAAGCTACATAGTTTTTTTCAATTTGAAACTTGTAATGTTTTATGGTTTCCTCAAGGTATCATTTGCTTCGATATAATATCGTCCAAATATGGTTAGAGAGTATGTTTTTATTCCAATTTATTTGCAGCACTATTTTAATACACTTCTGTGTATTCAAGTACTTAAGTTTAACAGTATAACATTATTTCTTGACAACTTAGCGATTTTTTCTAGATATTACTAAGAAAATGGTTGCTTATTTTAATCCATTATTGTAAATTTGGTGGGTGAAAGCTATAGATCGTATTGCCTGTATTGTTGGCATTTGATTTATAAATTTCAAATTATATTTAATGTTTGTATAGTCATTGAGTCACACTGCCCTGGCTATTGTAAACTAGATAATGTAATTTAACACAATTGTGGGCATTTTAATGTAAAATTTCGTCTTAGCGACTGATCTGATTTCTCCTGTCGTTAGTAAGGTGCTGGACTATGTAATGATTGCCTTATTGTTTTGAACACTTGAAATTTTAGATTTTATATGAATAAAATTCTGCTCAGTTTGACATTTTGTAAATACCTGACATCACAAGGGTCGTAATAATTATCACTAAAGGTAAGTTAGTTGTAATGGCTTGTATTTGTTACTGAATTTTACTAAAATGTTTTGAACAAATTGTTGAAAGAGATAGACGAGTAAGACTAGCGTAAGTTTCATAGGATATTTCCGGTAATGTACATTTTATTCGCATAAACTGTTCTTTATTTCGTCGGCACAACTTAACGTTATCTAAGTGTGTTATAATTTCTTAAGATTGACATTTATTTTAAGCATTTCTGCTAACAATGTTCTTAATTTCTAGCTTTGATTTATAAGGTTTGATTTTCATTTTTTTAATAAATTGATGTAAGTAATCTCAATTGTTTTTATTTGTGTAGAACTGTAAATCCTGTAATATTAGAGTAGTACCAGTAGTAGGTAGTAGTCGCAAATCTTATTTATTTGTCAAGTTATTTTCTATGTCATATCTAGAATAGTTTTTGAGTATTATTATTAGTATCTCATTTTTGCATATTTTGTTCATAAGAACAAGGACAACATACGATAACAAGATTGAATACATTTCAAGAAACTGGTATAATATGCCTAGAAAATTCTATGAATTCCTATCAATATAGTCTGACCCATAGTCTGATCAAGTGAAACATTTGAAATTTTGAACATATTCCTCCACAGCATGAATCGTCACTGCGTGAGTGCATGGTAGCAGCGCCAGACTTTGGACAGGTAGAAGAGCTCGAAGTCGCCTGGAAATCGCTTACTTCTAATGAGAGCTACCGATCGTCGCACCATTGACGATTGAATTGAAATGACCCTACTGTACAGTGGCGCCATCCATCCAAGGTGCCAATGCAAAAAATAGTCTTCTTGCCACTTCAGTCTTCAGTGCTCACCAGGGCGCCACTGTCTTCGCCATTAGCAAGTGACTGACAGTGGCTCAGTAACTGCAACTGGTGAGCGCATCGGGAAAGCTATACATCGTCCCATGAAGTAAGTAAAACCACATTTGAACATAATTCTAGTTTATTCCTCCACAGCATCAGTCATTCAGTCTAGTAGTCGACCATCAATAGTCAACCAGCTGCGTGAGCGCGTGGTAGCATCGCCAGACAGTTGGCAGGTAGAAAGGCTCGAAGACATGCGGGAAGGGCGCGTCCCAGCCCGCCACGCGTGCCACCGGCGCTTCCAAGTGCAAGAAGCATTCGTCCTGGGGAAGAAACGTTACATTGAAAGTTTGCTTTTTCATAATACAGGGCACCATTGGAGCCTCCAGGTCATCCAGGTGTAAGAAACATTCGTCCTGAGGAAGAAACACACATTAAGGCGATTATCACACTGCACCGCGGTCCGCGTGGCTACATATAAAAAATCCCGCGCGCAGACGCGTTGTCAGTGTGTTGTGCCGCGCGCGTTTTCCATACAAACTGAGGTACTCATCTGTCGTCCCGCGTACCGCGGCGGAGCGCGGTGCAGTGTGATAATCGTCCAAGACTGATTACTGGCTCCAATAAAATTTATTTATCTTTGTGGAAGTTTTTGAGGATAGATGGATGTTTGGACTCTCACGCAAAATTACTGAACGGATTTTGATAAGTCTGCTTGTAAAAACATAACCCACCTGTCGCAATCGGGTAACAAAATTTTTATGTTTAGAAACAAAAATGTAGCAGTGCACAGTGGCACAGTGAAGTAGCCCAAAAAACTCAGTATTGTATTCTTTTCAAAATTATGACGCATCCATCCACCAACGGGTGAAGTCCTATACAGGATAACTGAATGCGGAACTAAACAAGACATTCAAAAGAAGTCCGAAGACTAACAAACTTTAGATTATGTATCTAAAGCCTGCGCCCCGATTACGGTAACTTTTATAACGTCTACAATCCAGACGCGTTTCTGATTCTGCGATACGATTGGTCAAAACAGCTGACGTACGCTGTTGAACGACCAATCGTATCGCAGAATCGAGAAGCGTGTCTGGATTGTTGACGTTAAAAATTACCGTAATCGGGGCTCTGGTCCGTGAGCACGTAGAATTTTGTCCAATGACCCCAAGCTACCCATCTTTATCGCTCGCGTGTAATTATATTGCTGTCGCAACTGTGCGCCGGGCGCACAGTCTTTTATTTTGCCTTAGAAGCGGACATCCCTGTTTTATTAATTCAATCGTTAGATATTACTATTATGTATACAATTGATGAAGGAACTAGTAGTTGTATTTGTTTAGTTTCGAAGAAATATTCGATTTTGTGATTTTATAAAAAAAACTGTTTTAGAAGCATATTTTCTAAAAAAATTACATTAAGTCAGAATTTTGTAAATAAATTTACCTATCACTATAACGTCTACCTTTATGTAAAAATAAATGGTTATTGCTGCAGTAATTTAGGAATTATTTAATAATTTATGATTTTCAGAAAACATTTTTTTCTCTGTTGTCCTAGAAAAATGGCAGCTAGACTTACTTTATATTGATGCATGATATAATTATCTATAATACCTGAAAATATTACTTGCCTATCCCGTGGAAGTTCGATGATACGACTAGAAAAATTTGTCAAAAGTAATATTGACTAAGGCCATCGGTCAAAACCACTATTAACTGAAATTTGCAGTCAAAAGTGGTTTTGATCGATTATGAGTTTTGACTGCAACATATATATCGATGTTTCGAAAACGATAGGATTTCCAATAAGCCGCCACAGGGCCAACTCTATAATTATCAAACTCGACCAGACAAATTAATAATGGTAAAAGCAATGAATTTCAATAGTTATCTAACAAAGGCATTAAAACCGTATTGTTACGGACGGCATTTAAAAAACTAAAAAATATTTAGATGACAACCCTATTTACATATAAATCTTCTAAACTCATAGAAATTAAAATATCTTCGAACTTCCACGGGATAGGCAAGTAATATTTTCAGGTATTATAGATAATTATATCATGCATCAATATAAAGTAAGTCTAGCTGCCATTTTTCTAGGACAACAGAGAAAAAAATGTTTTCTGAAAATCATAAATTATTAAATAATTCCTAAATTACTGCAGCAATAACCATTTATTTTTACATAAAGGTAGACGTTATAGTGATAGGTAAATTTATTTACAAAATTCTGACTTAATGTAATTTTTTTAGAAAATATGCTTCTAAAACAGTTTTTTTTATAAAATCACAAAATCGAATATTTCTTCGAAACTAAACAAATACAACTACTAGTTCCTTCATCAATTGTATACATAATAGTAATATCTAACGATTGAATTAATAAAACAGGGATGTCCGCTTCTAAGCCAAAATAAAACACTGTGGGGCGCCCGCAGTGAGTGTGCGAGCGCGACAGCAACATAATTACGCGCGAGCGATAAGGGATGGGTAGCTTGGGGTCATTGGACAAAATTCTACGTGCTCACGGACCAGGCTTTACCTGTATGGTGGCGGCGAGCTCAGCGCCGAAGCCGGCCGTAAGCGGAGCCTCGTGCGCGATGAGGCAGCGGCCTGTCTTCTTCACCGACTGAAATAAATTATTAAAAATTCATCATCATCATCTTAGCTAATGGACAGTTCACTGCTGCACCATAGATTTTCAACAAAGCAGACAGGTGAAGTCGATATATTGGTTATGCAACACAGCTTCTCTCCTCTCCGCCATGATGGAAAACGGGTCTTGTTGAACAGTTTTTGCAAATAAATTCCCAGTTGCTCTCTGAGAGGGCGATCCTTGAGGGGGTAAATGGGTATAAACCAAAGTCGATAACGTTACAGCGCAGGCTGAATCATCATCATCATTTCAGCCATAGGACGTCCACTGCTGAACATAGGCCTCCCCTTATACTTTCCATGTTGATCGATCGGTAGCGGTCTGTGTCCAAGCCGCCAGGCTAGGTGTGGCAGGCTGAATGGTATTTTGAAACGTGGTAAAGACAATATAATCATGTGACGTAACAAGTTAAAAGAACAAAACAGTCTTCAAAGTTACTCACATTGCAAACGGTCTCCTCGTCCCACGGCAGGATGGACATGAGGTCGATGACGTCACACGCGAGGCCGAGCTTGTCCTGTGCCAGTTGAGCCACTTCTAACAGCACGTGGATTTGCGTGCCCCAGCCGATCAGGGTGGCTCCGTCGCCTGGAATTTGAAACATAATTGAGAGTTGAGTAAATGGCGACGAATGTAGACCACCTGCTTCAGACGCAGAGGTCCCGGGTTCGATTCCCAGTGGGGGCAGATTTTTCTGTTCGGTTTGGTTGGTGGTAGGGCTTGTTCTAAGTCTTACCTAAGTCTGTCGCCATAACAACAATGTTAACAGCATTGTTGTGTTCCGGCAGTTAGAGGTAAGGTAGCCAGTTCCTCCGTGGTTGAGGATTCCGGGTGAAGCTCGCTTCCACCTTCAGCCTGATCGTCACTTACTATCATCAGGTGAGATACAGGCCAAGAGCTTCCTCGTTGTGGATAAAAAAATATAAAATAAATAATTGGATGAATTTGTCAAAATGCGACTGCCCCATAAATTTTGTATGATGACAAAAAATAATGATTCAGTGGGGATAATCTATTAATGATAATAATCTCCATAATGATCGATTCCGTGAAGGGTAGTTAAACGGAAAGCATGGTTAATCTGTTTTTATTGTGTATAGTTTTAGTGTATTATTTAATGGACTGTGTACAAATAATGGTGTTATTTTGTGTCATAACGTGCAGTGAAGCGATAAATAATTATAAACATTGAAAGACTTCAATTTTGAGCGCGCATCGAGTGTCTAGCTGACCTTCCCTCAAGATCAATGATGGAATGAAATGTGCCAAGAAGATGTCCTGCTTTCTCTCAATACCAATGGTGATGCTATGTGACAAGAAGATACCCCCCACCATTCCTCAAGATCATGATGATGGATGTGCCAAAAGGATGCGCTACCTTCCTTAAAGATCAATGATCATGCTATAAGATAAGACGAAGCTGTTGATCCTGGCTACACCAAAGTTACAGTGGTGAAAAAGTGTGGTGTGATAAGTTCCGCGTAAATGATGTGACGAGGCAGATCATGCTAGGTGCCAAGAAGATACCCTATTTCCCCTCAAGACCAACAATGCAATGATCCAATAGGTATGCCAAGACGATGGTCCACCTTCCTTCAACACCAATGATGATGCTATGTAACAAGAAGATGCCCCACAATCCCTCATGGTTAATGATGACGCTATGTGCCAAGAAGATCCCCCACCTTTTCTCAAGATCGTGATAACGCTATGTGCCAAGAATATGCCCTACCTTCTCTCAACACCTGCGCTTTCCCCAGAGGCAGCGTGTAGTCCTCGACTGGGACCTCTTCAGCCGCGGCGCGGTACAGCACCTTGGGTTCTAAGAACACGCACGGGTCGCGCTCGCGGACACACGATAGCAGCAGGCCCTTGGCTGCGATAGGGCCGCGCGGTACCACCACCTGCGACAAAGTGAGTCACTTAACACCAGTACAGAATACCCTTTAGGCCTGATTCGACCAAACTTTTATCCGAATAACTCCTGGTAAAACTGACACATTGACATTTTCAGTATGGGAAATATGACGATTTATTCTGAGATTAATATTTACTCTTGTTTGGTCGAATCCACCCTTAGGAATTTGAGACGACAATATTATGTCAACGTCGGTGAAGGTGTCGAAATGGCCGACCAGAGATCCGAGGAACGCGAGTTTGAACTCCGTCGAAACTGGACTATTGGGTCGAACCCAGTGGCGGCGTAGCATGGCTTGGCACCCGGGGCGGTCATCCCCCCCCCCCCCCCCCCCCCCCCTTACGCCGCTACTGGTCGAACCCACTCTTAAATACATAAAAGCATTATTATTTAACATAGCACGAGGGGTTCACCTAATAGATAGAACCACGTCTATATTGGATTATGCTCATTTACTTCCCTTGCAAACTCAATAATCATCTTGTATGAGTAACACTTGGTTAACTGATTAGGTAACAATTATTATTATTGAATCTGATTCAGTTTTCTTATCACAACAATATTGACTTACTTACATAATTTTAAATCTAGATAGTGAAAAAGATAAGTAGTACACATTTGAGTATAATGAAGACGGAGGTGTGTCTCATTATGGATTTTATTATACTTTTAAGTGGATTTTAATAAAAATTATAAAGCATCAGCATTGCTACAGAGAATAACAGGTAATCTTGAGTCCGGCATCAAATGGCAGTGGGCGGGGCACATAGCTCGTGGACGATGGCCGTTGGGGCAGAAAAGTTCTCGAGTGGCGACCACGGGAAGACGTAGCGTGGGCAGGCCCCTACTAGGTGAACCGACGATCTGGTGAAGGTCGCGTTAGGAGCCTTGATGCGGGCAGCGCAGGACCGTGAATTGTGGAAAACCTTGGGGGAGGCCTTTGTCCAGCAGTGGACGTCATTTGGCTGAAACGAACGAACGAACCTTGAGTTCGGGCGTATGCGCGAAGTATCCTTCGGGGCTCTGCGAGTGATAGAGCCCCCCGTGGCCCACGGCGCTGCAGGGCGCGCGGACCGTGAGCCCGCCGCACTCGAGTGGCCCCCGGGCTGTGGCCCCCAGTTACCTTGAGGCCGGGCGTGTGTGCGAAGTATCCTTCGGGGCTCTGCGAGTGGTAGAGCCCCCCGTGGCCCACGGCGCTGCAGGGCGCGCGGACCGTGAGCCCGCCGCACTCGAGTGGCCCCGCGGGCTGTGGCCCCTAGTTACCTTGAGGCCGGGCGTGTGTGCGAAGTAAGCCTCCGGGCTCTGCGAGTGGTAGAGCCCCCCGTGGCCCACGCCGCACTCGAGTGGCCCCCGCGGGCTGTGGCCCCTAGTTACCTTGAGGCCGGGCGTGTGTGCGAAGTATCCCTCGGGGCTCTGCGAGTGGTAGAGCCCCCCGTGGCCCACGCCGCACTCGAGTGGCCCCTAGTTACCTTGAGGCCGGGCGTGTGTGCGAAGTATCCCTCGGGGCTCTGCGAGTGGTAGAGCCCCCCGTGGCCCACGCCGCACTCGAGTGGCCCCCGGGCTGTGGCCCCTAGTTACCTTGAGGCCGGGCGTGTGTGCGAAGTATCCCTCGGGGCTCTGCGAGTGGTAGAGCCCCCCGTGGCCCACGCCGCACTCGAGTGGCCCCCGGGCTGTGGCCCCTAGTTACCTTGAGGCCGGGCGTGTGTGCGAAGTAAGCCTCCGGGCTCTGCGAGTGGTAGAGCCCCCCGTGGCCCACGGCGCTGCAGGGCGCGCGGATTGTAAGCCCGCCGCATTCGAACAGTCCCGCTGACCGGTAGCGGGCTTTGGCTGCTTCGTTTACTATCTGTAATCGTAATTAACAATATTAAGGCTGGGTTGCACCATATTAGTTTCACTTTAAAAACTTCAAAGATCTATCAAACTCCATACAAAAAACACCGGTTAAAGTTACGGTCAATCAAAGTAAGTTGGTGCGACTCAGACCCATGACTAAGACCCAAAACTTAGCAAAGGTTAATATTATGACTAAATAGCAGACAATATAAAAATAAAATAGTTAAAAAAAATTAAAGTACATAAAGATACAAATATAATAACAATATCACTACTACACTTTGGTATCTCATTTTGAGCCATCAGTCCAGTCATCAGTACCAAATAGAGTGCTTTGGAATGACATTTCAATGGCAAACCTAGCATTATGTAAAAAGTCAATAAAAACATTTTCTAACAAAACAATGTAATCTTAAAAACTAACTTGATCAAAAGCTGGGAATATGTAGTCTGCAAACTGAATTTCAGCAATCGCAGTGGCTCCTGCCGTAGCTAATCCAATCCCAAATCCAGCGATTCCTTGTTCACACAGTGGAGTGTTGAAAACTCGATCTTTGCCATATTTCTCCTGCAAAAATACAAAATATTTGTAATCACATGTCCAGACCATACAACAATAATGCCAATTAGTTTATTAGTGAAAAAAATCTTAAATAAAAAGTTAAATAATAATTATCTGCTTACTTGTAAGCCTAAAGCGCATCTGAACACTCCACCGAATCCTACGTCTTCACCGAACAATACGGCTGTCGGATCATTCTTCAACGTGATGTCCATTGCGTTGTTGATGGCCTGCATCATGTTCATCTTTGTTGTTTCCCCTGTAATAGATAAATACATTTTCTAAAATAAATATAGCACACTAAATCATTTAAAACGGCTGGTCACTGCAGGGGTAGATCACCTTCAATTAAAAACCAACAAAATGATAGGGAATGGTGGAAAATGATGGAGGAGGCTTTTACCCAAGTGGGGCCACAAGGGAAATATGGATTAATTGAATAGAACTGTTTAAATGTGGAATGTAAAGCTATAATAAATAAAATAGTAAAATCATTTAACATGAAACCACAAAATTATTAGTTATTTACCTAAATATGTTAAATATCTTATAAAAACCTTCTTATTGAAATAACATTTTGTAACTTATGAATAAGCAGTTTTTTTTTTATTTTAAATCTATGAATAGATCTATCAATGAAAATATGTTTCTAATGATATCTTGCAAGTGATAACATTTATGGATTAGCTGTGTTTTTGAACTGTTACAATGTTCATGTATCTGACTATGAATGGGCATTATTTACATCATAGCTGAGCATAGAGTTGTTCATACGTTATAGGGCAATAAACTATTAAATGAACTCATACAAATAACCTGCTATGGTTTTATGAAATATTTACATCTATTTACTTACCATTTACAGGTTTTTCATTGTCAGGATAGTAGTTGAAGTGCGATGAAAGTCTTTTTGAGCATTTGTTCACATGTTTTATAAGATTTGTGAGTAAAATTGTATTTTTTGTAATTACGCCCGACATTTTCTTCAAGAGCTCTCGACGTATGTGAAGCGCCGAACGACTGATTTAAAAAACACATCTTATCTGCAATTGTAATTAGCAACGCTGTGATTACGTTTACTGATAACAACTGTGACGAAATTGTTTTCTTGAATAAATTCCGGTTTTGGGTTCGTTGAGGTTAGAATTTTGTTATTTACTTGCTGTCAGTGTCAATGTCAAAACTGACAATCAGTTTTACTTTTTTATTTTTCTAGGAGAGACTAGGATAAAAACAATTAATCATAGGTTAAAATAACGTTATCACGGTGATAACTTTAGGAATATAATCTCACTCAATAAATCAATAAAATACTTTCTTGATTATTTAGCTACCTATATCAGCTATGTTCAAGCACACCCAGCGCCAAACCGACTTGGAGTCGAGATGGCCAATGGCCATGACCAAATCGGTCGTGGAAAATACCTCATAGCTGGCTTCGGGACCACTTAGCCAATTTTATAAGGCTTTGGAAACTTATAGGCGTTAATAAATAATAATAATAAATAATAATAATAAATAATAATAATAAATAATAATAATAAATAATAATAATAAATAATAATAATAAATAATAAATAAATCTTTGGACAATTTCACACAGCGAGCGCCAGCTAGCCCCAAAGTAAGCAACTTAATGCTTGTGTTATGGGTGCTAGCTTAACGGGTATACTACTTATTTATTAATGTTAGTAGGTAATGTTAAGGCGATTAGAGTCCTCAATGACCTTGGGCGTTTGACCTTCACGCCGCGAGCAACACCCGCGTACCCCGCACCAAAAACTCCGATTTGACACCGATCAAAAATACACGGGCATAGGTAGATACAGAATGGAAGCTCTTTCTTCATACATTAATGCCTATTATTTTAAACTTAAATTGATGAACCTTGATGTCGGTGTCATTTAACTCAGGCGTAAAGGTATTTAATAAAAATAACAAAATCCATGAACATTTTGTACGGGATAAAATTTTATTTTATTTTTCGTAAATTTTCTAATGCTTTTGTCGGTTCACTTTATTACAAGCTTTTATTTAGCTTGCAATTTATGATGTATGTAGGTAATATAAGTTTATATTTTTATTTTATTTAGAGTTAAGTTTGCCTTAGTTTTAAAAAAAAATCTGTTTGTTGTAAATAATGTTCACCTGGTAATTAGGTACATAAATGTTTGTTCTGGTGGAATCTTGCAAGCTGAATTAGTTAGACCAACTTCCTGACGACAACTAGGCTAGATGACAAACCCCTGACCCTGTATAAGCAAGTACCTAATGTTATCTAAGTAGGTACGCTACTTTGAAAATCATGAGTCTTCAATTCTCAAAGGGAAACTGCAGAGTCTGATGATGGAGCTGGAATGTGGCCATAGGAATAGCTAGTTTCTTTAAAAAAGACTTTTGGTCCGTCAATTTTACATTATCAAAAAATATTGGACACAGGATATTTTTATTTTTCAACTACACAAGTAATTACGAAGATAATGATGCGATAAAATTCCGCGTTACGACACAAATCGCCACATTTTTAAGCATGCCTTGACGTCATGTGCCTCATCTTCTGAACTTTGGTGCGCTTCATATCTTTAAATTTTCATAAGTTTACAAAAGTGAAAATACATTTAGAGTTTTTTTTTGGTAAGTTCACCGACGGTCTTATTCAAACTCTTGCTACTTTCTTGCTTTATCCATGAAACATCCCTATTCTTCGAAATTATTACGATCTACAAACGAAAAATCTCTGCTACTACGCCGCAGTAAATTCCCCATCATAAATAAAAAGATTTTTTTTTAAACAAGGTCTTGTATGCTAATAATTTTGGTTTCATGACATGCTCCTAAAATTCGTCACCTTATAAGAGGATTTCAGTTTTATCTGCGAAACTTTTTAATAATATAGGTACGTTTCATGGTTTGGTAATTTAGGGAAGTTAATTTGCACTTAACATGAAAAATATGGTATCAATGTACTGAGTACCTATGCACCTTCAGTGGCAACAACAAGGTCTACTGGGTACCTATAGTCTACTGAAGGCATGAAGTAGATTAATTTCACTAAAAATTAAAACCAACTCCAAAACGAATCACCAAAAGGTAGGNAGCGCTAATCTCATTCCAGCAGACTTCTTTTTGTGAGGTTACTTTATGAGCAGAGTATGCTCTAATAATCCAAAAACTCTGCAGCATTCATCCATCCTGAATCCATTTTGAGGTAACTCTAAGGGCTCCTGCACACGACGCTGCCACCGCGCCGCCGCCGCGCCGTCACCGCGCCGCTACACTGTTCATACGCACCGAGTAAAACCGCCGCGCCGCCGCGCCGCCACCGCGCCAACAAAGCATAATTTCATGCGCGGCGCGGTGGCGGCGCGGCGGCTGCGCGGCAGCGGTGTTCACGCGGCGTGTATAAACAGTGCAAAGGCGCGGGGACGGCGCGGCGGCGGCGCGGTAGCGGCGTCGTGTGCATCAGCGCTTACGAAAGTTTTCCAAAATGTTGATGTATGTTGACCGAATGTTGTAAACGTCAAGGGAATCACATTTACGATAAAATTTATAAAAGAAAGTAAATTTTAAAATAAATTGCACTAAATTTCCTTTAAATTGCAATAGCTTAGGTTCTACAAAAATGCACAGTTTTCGTTTCCTTGAATTTTCAAAAGTGAATTTTCTTCTGGGTTACCCTGTAAAACAATATACACGATGTTGTGGAGAGATGGTGCTCGTGCTAGGCTCCGAAGATCCTGTGTTACTTAAGAGTTTTTTATTTTATTTTTATTGATACGCTATTGGAATATTTTAAATTGTGTTGGTATACGTATAATTATATTTTTTTTCCTGTAAAAAAAATTGCTAAATTTGCCGCCCCTCTAAATCTGCCGCCCTAGGCACTGGCCTACTTGGCCTATTGGTAAATCCGCCACTGATAATCTTAGATTAATAAAACCTAAGAATATAATATAAACAATTTCTAGGTCTACTTGCAGTTTATATCTGTCAGTTTGTTTGAAGTTGAGCTAATACTGAACCAGCAGTCCTCAACATGTTAGACGCAGAGGGTCCGTTATATCATGAAATTAATGAAAGGCTGACCTTTAATACTAAACTTTTACTAAAGAGTACAGTGGCGTTATTCAGACTCTACGTTATTCTATTTTTTGCTATTACCTCGACTTTCATCTCGTATGATAAGAACAACTGCCCCCCTAGACAAAACGCACTTTTTGATCGAATCGAAAATCGAATCCGTCAAAACTAGTCCGTCAAAAAAAACCATACAAAAAAGGGGCTTTTCGACCACTTTTCGACTGGTTTGCGATTATAATTTGCACTTTGTCTAGACCCACCGTAATGTTTAAGAAAGTACATATGAAAACAATTGCGGTTTGTTAAGTTTGGCCACATAATGCAAGCAATTCGCACTAAGTATACCTAATAATTGACTAAAGGATGAGCTCATGACCCATTCTTAGCTAACACTGCAAGTTTAGTAGGTATAAAAATAAACTTTTTTAAAAACAAGCTTTTATTCTGAATTTCGAAAGTTTGTATCGCGCATGGAATTTATTCCTCTTTTTCTCTGTTTGCGCTACAAGCTTTCGAAATNCCTCATAACTGTATCTTCATTGTACACCTAAGTAAATAACAAAAGGCAAAATAAGAAAAAAATAACTCATAATGTGCAATTTTCGAATGCATTAAATCTCAAATGTTAAATCACCGCAGTTGTAATAATTTCATTGCGTTCTTTTTTAGTGCCGAATGCAATTTATTACTTGGGCAACAAAATACTTACCTAAGTTATTTGCTTTTGGAAATCTCTTGCAATACTTACTTAAGTTGGCTAAACATTTGAAAGCATGCTATGTGTTTTCATGAGTATATTAAAAGTAGTTGAGTAGGTAGTATCTCGTCATGCACCCGAATTCGAACAGGACCTGCATTAAGTTATTTTTAAACAAATATTAACTATAATCTTCAGTGGCGGATTTACAAATTTGCCGCTAGTAGGCCATTCAATTTTTGCCGCCCCTACCTACTGACTTTTGAAATTCAATACGTTAGTTTAATCCCGTTATTAGTATGATTGTGAACTTAATGATATTTCTGTCAGTTACTAGATTATTATTGCAACCCGCTATGTAATGAAGAGTTTAATGTTGACCTAAAAACAGCAGTATGTAATAATCCTATGGTGGGCAAAGGCATGACTTAAAAATACCATAACTTAACAGTTTAAAAACAATACAAACAATTTCTATTAAAATATAACATGTTAACAATTCAGTTAATGGTGACAGACAATGAGATCAAATAAGTTTTACATTATTTTCTTGCGAGATTTTAAATTTGCAAAATCATTAATTATATTGACGTATGAAATCTTTTTCATAAGTTCTGACTTTATGCACAAAAGAGATAAAGCATTAATAGGCCAGAAGAATTAGATTTTAAATCGGAAATAATTCCTACAAAAGATTTTATTGCTTTAATGGCTTCATTGGTTGCCCATTAAGACTTTCCTAGGTTTTCGACTTCGACGGAGTTGTGCTTAAGTGGTGGGGGCCCCCGTGTAAAGGACTTACCCTATCGAAAAGTGGTCTTCCTGACGGTTGAAGGGCATTTAATCTTGCATTAAATAAGACCAAATTCATATGTTTTGGACAAACCGTTCTCGTGCAAATGTTCGGCAAAGTAGAAAATATGACTGTGTATAATTAATGACCCTCTCCACGTCCAATGGCTCGTTACCCGTAGGCTCCCAAGCCGTGTAAAGGGTCGCCTTAACCAGCGTATCCCTGTCAAGGCTCACGAGTTGGATTCGTTTATCCTTGTTCGTCCCAGCCGTTCCTTAACTGCGGTTGCTGCACCTCTTCCTGGCACTCTCCTGAACGACTCTGTGTTACCTAATGTGGCTGCCCCTCTTCCTTGTACCCTCCTGTACGATTGCATTGCTTAGCCATATGCCTGGTCCAAGGTTCGACGCCACAAAATCAACTTCGTACGCGAGAAAATAGTTTAAATACTATTTTCCGTGCTTGCAACATTTTTCTTTACTGCTTCGCCTCTATTAGTCGTAGAGTAATTGTATATATCCTACTATAGCCTTCCTCAATTTATGAGCTACTAGCTGACCCGGCGAACTT